TCTTGTGTGATAGACATTCGGCAAGATGACTATATTCGGTAATCGCATGTGAATGCAAGGATAGCTATTTTAAGCTACATAAGCTTGATAATATTTTTATCATTTCTATCTCATACTCTTCAATAACATTGTAGTTAAAAAATAAGAGATTCAATTTTATTTACCTGGGCGTATTGATCTTGGCGCTTAGCTCTTGGTCCGTTTCTGTTGTAAAAGCTGTAAAATCATAATATCTATGTTCTTTTCTAGATTATTGCAAGCTATGTCAGGGTTCATAGCGTGGATACGTCGAATGATAAATGCTTGCTTGGAGAAGATTTACTAAACCGTATTCTGACGAGCAATTTGATGATGACGCTATCTTTAGGAACGTCGAAAACTTTGATGAAAGTGGAGAAGTAAATCCTAAAAGGGGTAAGCCGATTTAGAAATAACTTTTAATAATTAATAAACATCACAGTTTGATCTGTCCTTATCAATCATTGGTTGTTTCTTACCGCTTCTACCGTTGGCACAAACGGCAAAATGTTACGGAATGACTACCGAGCCTTATATCTTACTGTTTACTAATCGTATTTAACACTAGTCCGTTTTTGATATAGCCCAATGCATCAGTGTAAATTTGTGGAGAACTAAACTCGATTTACAACAAAACTTTGAAACTTACACAAACAGTAACAGAAAGTAACGGGAAGGTTTTACAACAATTTATTGAAGAGTTACAAGATAATCTCACTGCTAGCTTAAGACATATTCAATATATTTCTTTAAAGATTTGTCTCCAACGCTGCGAGAACCGTAAATGGATTTTAGAGTTTGTTATAGCTTCTTTTTTTTGCTAATGGCTCTGGTTATCATGCTACCGAAGCACATAGAAGTCTATTACTGTATATGATGTGCATTGATATATTGAAATCGCATCTACATATATTTGAAGATTGAATATGTCAAGTTATTATCTCTAGCTGGAAAACTAACTACTTAGCGCGCTTTTATAGGGGCATCTATTTAGAAACTTTATATGTTTAAACTTTACGGTATAAGGTGAAGTATATTGCGAGAATTTTCAATTGATCAAGTTCGAACGCTACCTGATCATTGGATGAGATGAGCATAAATGAACAGTAAATCAAGGCCAGCTTTATGAACTTACCTAGCCCATTCCTGTTCTGAAAGAACTCTTTAGTTTAGTTTCTTCATATATTGCGTTAGCATTATATCATAGAATGTTCAATGTTAGCGTCTATGTAATCAGTGGAATGGTACTTAAAGGTAGACTTCTTTCTTAATTCAGGTAAATTTTAGCAAGTAGAAGAATCCTAAAATAGGTAAGCAATTAAATTATACATCATCTTTACTGTATCTTGAATTAATACAGCAGCTAAGTTCTATGAATGAATTATTGTTATAGCTGCACTCCTTCAGAGTTCTCTTAGAAATTTGTAGTTAAAGTTCAAAGACGATTTTCATCATAGCAAGAAGTATTATTGTATAACCGTCGTAAGAAGGATAAAACCTGGTGTAACGCATAAAGAGTTATGTACGATTTACACAACTCCTATTCCTTTTAAAATAAAGATTGTATCGTTGATAACTTTTGGGAACGAACTTAATTGCTTGTAGAATGTAATAATTATCACATTTACAAGATGGACATTAAATCAATATTAAAGTAAATGGGATTTATCATAGCATCCAAATGAAGGTTTTTAAAGAAAATAATTTTCCCCTACAAATGTTGTCAGCAAGTTATTTAGCGTTAAAACAGATATAATGCCTGAAATATTTACTGAAATTAAGGTAATACTTCGTGTAGATAGCACGGCTGCCGTACCTAGTAATTTTCAATAGAATAAAATTCCAACATTTCTGACATACAGCTCTATTGCTTGGATTAAAAGTGTAATCTAAAATAAATGAGTCAGCTAAAAACAATTACCTAATAAAACAAACTCACTTTCAGCAAAGTGATGTGTCAAGTCAACGGATAGATACGACTAGCTTAACTAATTTCTAACCATATCTTGCATCCTTCCGCTTGCTACAATGTCAGAGTTTCAGGAGATATCTGATATGGCCCGATAGGAATCATAATTTAGTCGACAGAAATATCTTATAGTCGTACGTGATCACCATAGTTAACTATAACCTTGTAGATTATTTTTTAAAAACAGTAAATTACTAAGCCAATATTAGAATATCAAAGTTTTAGAGATTGACCATTTTATGAATATTCAAGAAAGTCTATAATATCGCCATTATTTTATCGAGAAATCGCTTCATTTCTATGGTCAAAGTGAAGCAATCATATTACCAATATGGAAAGATAACTACATTGTGAATTGATTTATGATACTTTGCTCTTTAAAACTTGTATCTGCAAGACATCATTGATATAGAAGCATCATCATCTTTCCTGCGTAATGGATTGCATTTTACGTATAATTATGTAAATATTGCCTAGTGCTATAATGGATATTCTAAATTTGCATTTTATTGTAATATGATGAGTCTGTAGTATCTACTCTAAAAGTTCACCGAGGTACTTACTTACTAATTCACAATTTTAATAACATTGTCAGAAGTATATTGACAAATATGTTTAGATGGTTTGTCTTGATACAAGTATCGCCATGATAACAACTTTCTTTCGTATGTACCTATATAGCCAAAATTTGGGGATTGCAGCTTAGCTTGTTGACGTTACTTTAAGCATTTAGCTTGAATGATATTGTACAAAATTTTTCAATTTATATTCCAGAAACTGTTTCGTAAGCTGATATAGCTAGGATTAATCGGTTGCAATTTAATATTTGACGTTGTTCTAACCCTTTACTCTAAATAATATTTCGTAAGAATTTTTAATTCGCGTTACTTCACTTCAAAATTAGTCAGTAGAGTTCATTCACTTTACCCCTTCATCAAAATTTCTATACAATTAGACTTGTGAGCAAATATATCGAAGTAGAACGGTTAAAATATCTAACAAATGGAATGGACTTATAGTTGGGAAGTTGATCAAATTAGAAGATAGAGAGCAGATATGGCGTTGATATTTAAATGGTATTCAGGGTCTAAAATAAAAATACTCTAGTTTTGAGGAAAATTACTTGATCGTCACTGTAAAATAATTGAACGAATTTACCTTTATCAAAATAGTCCAAGAAAAGAATAATTAAATTAATTATGAAACGGATCTTTATATTACCATTTATTGATTATTTCTATTGCACTGAGAAGGAAACATGGTGAATTCGCTAATTAAAGTGCAATATTTATCTGCGTATGCACCAATTACATCATGCACATGTAGTTTAATATAATCGTCTAGTGCAGTCCATCGCAACTATTATAACAATTGTTACTAGCATATATTTCTGATGTTTAAAAATTTAATTAATATAGAAAGTAAGTTTATAATTGTTTGAAACAAGTAATCATTTCGAGGTATAAATCTAGTTAGCTTAAAAATCTTCTCGGCTTAAGTATTTAACTGTAATTGCTGTAACAACTACCGTAATGGTAATCAAGAAAGAGAATGAAACGGCTACTTTCAATGTGATAATTCGAAGTAAATGAAATGATACCAACATGCTATTATATTCAAGTTAAATTGAATTTAAATTTTATTTGATCATATCTCCTACCAGAAGATCATTTGTTTTATCGACTTTATCAAAAGATCAATACTTTTATTATTTTTCTGTTAATTAAAGTGTTTCTCATATAATTTACCAGATTGACCTTTTACAGCCAAAGACGACTTGTATTTTAACCGTATTTTTCATGATGATTGAAACAGTGACAGCAACGCAAAATATGATTTACAGCAATGGTACAATATGCATTCAATTAATCTTCAAATAATATGGTCATATTTTTTATGGACAGTAGCTGCTCTAGAATAATATAAAAACTCCACTCATAACAAATAGTTCGTTATTTGAATTAGACCGTAGTAGATTTATCTCATCTCAAAATTATGTAGATAGCAGATACGTGTACTGTTATTTTCGCAGCATTACCCGTTAACTGAAGTATCAAATTAAACTTATGGATCAAGCAGCACGCATATTTCTATCATTAGCTATAAACAAAGTTTATCAAATAAGGTACGTAGCCGAAATATTGATTCCCGGTCGCCAAGAGAAACCTATGCCAAAATGCAAAATACCAGCTACAATTTAAGGATCTTAGCACAAATACGGGACGATTCATTTGTAGCAAGTATTCCACAGATCTGATAGGAATAATCATACCAAATAGAATACATAAATTAGAGCCTCTGTACTTTAGGAAATTATTTTGAAACATAAAGCTGAATAAGAAATACATTACTTATTATTTTATATAAGTTGTTCTAATGCAAATAACTGCCTTGCCTAATCATTATTTCAATTGCAGTAAATTTATATTCGCTACGAGTAGACCTTATACACGGTCTGACTAATAATTGTATAAATTTTTTATTTAGGCCAAAATAATGCCTAAATTTCTGAATATTACATAGACTATAAATAACTTTTATCAATTACGACATGCAATCGTCATTTCTTTAATGCTGATAATGCATAATGGAATTATCCATAAGATGCCGGACACTACAATCCTAAATTGAATGTACTACCATTTGGAATTTTTTTTATGATTAATTCTGATGGAGCAACGTATCATTTTATGATGTAAATTAGATTTTAAAACCAGTAAGAGTTTAATTTAGATGCGCCATGCCGCTTTATTTAGCCATCCACGTTCGTTATAATTTTATGACACACATAAAATTGATCAGCTTTTATAGTTCCAATTTATATATGGATATCATCCAAATATAGTATTATACGAGTGTAAAAGATTCTATTTCGTACCATTATATGGTGAACCAGATAAATATCGTATCCATCTTAAGAATTTCAAAGGGAGACTGTGCCTTTATAAGAAAAAATCAAGTAATCAAGGAGTCATATTTCACTAGAAGGAAATCGAAAATCTGTAAACCGAACATGATCAGAATTTCAAAAATGTTAATGAGCTTATGTACCATCACTTTTGTCGTTGGGCAATTTGATTTAGGTAAAATTTTAAACTTTTTTGGAAGAAGTAATCTTCTGCAGCATATGTATAGATGTAGCACTAATACAGATAGTAATGATTAATTACTAGTTGTACGGTAATAGATACTAATCGTGTCGAATTCAAATGGCTTAATCAATCATTAGTTTTCTGTGGGCTATGTAATTTATCACCATGTGCACACATCAATGCAACATGCCACGATATTTCTGCAACACAATATCAATGCCTTTGCCCTAAAGACTGGAAGGATAGTACATGCAATGAAAGTAAGAAATAATAGAACTTAAGAAATTGTAAGATTGAGCTAAAAAATTTAAAATGTCACTTTACATATTATTCACTCATTACTTTATAGTAACGAATTTAAATAACTTTTTGTTCATCTATGATTTATTCATTGCCCTTATATCGACGAGTTACAAGTAGTTATTGATTTATTTCATGAATACCTGCTAATTCAAGTGATGGTTAAACCACTCTAAGAATTTATAATTTTGCGAACTATTAGACATGCTTTCTGCAACAAACCATTTTAGACATTGTGTCCGATTAATTATTAATAGCCCATTCAGGACAGTAATATAGCTTCCGGAATCTTTAAACTGCTTATCAATGTCCTATTCAGTATCGAGATATCATGGTGCTGTTTTATTCAATAACGGAATTTACATTTTCGTATTATAGCATTACTTGGCACAGCGTACGATAGTAACAATTCAAGAAATACCACATCTGAAAATGAAAACAAACAATCCACGCCAAATATTGACAACCGTCTTACGGATGAACAGCAAATCTTCGTAGCCATCGTCTTAATAGCAATAAGTGCTTTGTTAATAGCAATGTGCGTGGTCAATTCTAACAAAATTAGTCGGCAGCTACATGCTGTAAGTAAATGCATTATAATTGTTCATTCTTTCGTGCTGCCTACTGTATTTTTAAATAGAAACCTTGATCAGGTCTAAATAGCGAGGCATGCGGTAATAATGTCATATAAGAAGATGCAATGTAAAATACAATACGTGCAACATAACTTGATAGCACTTGAGTGGTCAGCGTGCAGACATGTATAAATATACCAACAATTTTCTACTATCAAATTAAAAATAGTAATGTAATTACTAATATTCAATTTTACTAATGATGTGAACAGAATTAATATATCAATAACTGCATCTTATCTAAAGCACACATCCTATTGTAAGCTACTGTGGTGTAACCGTGAAATGAATTGAAATTTAGTAGATTGCAAGTGCACCTTTAGCAGTTTAGATAGTTCTTAACTACAGTTGACATCAATATTGCATAGTTGCCTTAATGTACCTTTAAGCAAAGATATTTCATGATTTCTTGAATAACTAAAAAATTTTAGAGAATTTAATATAGTACATTCAATGTACCTCAGCTTAGTAAGGATAGTGCTTTATTTTACTATTGATGTGAACTGAACAATATATCAAATACTGCATCTCATCTAAAGCAAACATACCCATTGTAAGCTACTATACTGTAACTAAGAAATAAATTTAAAATTTGGTAGTTTGCAAAAGCACCTTTAGTAGTTTAGATAGCTCTTAACTATAGTATTTCAGCAAGATGGAGAAATTAGGCTTGTTCGCTTTAGGGCAATGTGATGCAGTAACTACCTATTGTATAGCTACCTTATTGCATCTTTCTATAGGCGCATCCAATCACTTTCAGAAATAACTAAAACTTTTAGAGTATTTAATATAGTATTTTCGATGTAGGTCAGCTTAGTAAGGATGGCACTTTATGCTATCACATGCTCAATCTATTTCTATTGCTTTTCTAATGTACGCATTTGACTTTGTTGTTCAAATAAAGATTGCAGATTATAACAGAAGAGAAGTCCAAACAGTTGAAAGATGGGTATAATCCTCAGCGCCGATATTATAGTTTTACTTTAATAGTGATTTCGTATCCTTATCATTACTGTTTATGTCAACATATTAAGTTGTAGATGACACCTTGTATTCTGCTATTATGATTTTTACTCATTAAATAAAAAATGTTTAGTATGAATATGCCTAATAAAGTATTGTAGACAAGATGACATGTGGTTTAAAAGATAATTCCTATAAGAAAAAGACTACTATGGTTTTGCCTACTGCAATGCTACTGTATCTATAGGCACTTCAAGCAACGGTTACTCTCAATCCGATTATGTAATGAAATAAATATAAGTACAATGCAACAAGAGTTAAAATTGTATTGCTTATATGAAGACTCGTTCATTACGCAGTAGTTATGCATAATGTTATGTATCATATGAGAAACCTCGAGATAAATTACTGTTATGTTTAGCACTGTATTTATTACATCATTTTTCGATTCTGTAAAATGACTATAGTTCTATTCTACTATGAAATCGTCAATTTATTCTGTAAGCTATGAAATTTTAACAAATGTTTGCGTAAAAATAAAAGATTCTATATATATTTCACTAGCATTTTCTGCATGATATCAATTGTACCTGGGATTGTGAAATGAACAGAAAAAAATGTGTAATTAGAAAGAGTTGCTATGATAATGTCCGGAAAAGAACTCAACTGCATGTTAATAGAATTTATGGATTACAATGACTACGTTTAAATCATTCGCCATAATTTGCTGATACTAAATTGTAGCCTACACTACCTTTGATAGCATCATAACGATCACCATTGTGGCAGAATAAAATTCTCAATCAAAGCAAAAATAAGGAACGTAGGTTATTATAGTATACATAGACTAAGTATTCTAGAAGGTTTTACATGCAAATGAACTTCAAATACGTGCGCATCTAAGACTTACCCTTACGAAGTCGCTCTACTAATACTATGACATCCGCCTCTTTATCAAACAAGCTGTGCAGTTACAGGTTGTGTGCTAACGCAATTACTCGTATAACAATTTAATCATTCTTTTAGTAGGCAAAACGCGAGTTATCAGGTTAGCCTTTAATCTAGAAATTTCAAAGGTACACGAGTAGTTTTTCCAACTCTCGTAATCTGGCTATTAGGTTTATAGATACATTCTCTTTCTTAGTTGCTAATATGGGTTCCTTCGATGGGGAATGAGTCCAAATAGGCGGCATTTTATGTGCTATCGTGTGTTGTATTTGTGATTGATTAGATTTGGCTAGTGTATCACAAATGCTATCTTGTCTTCTTATTGACAATGGGGTTTGTAAGACGTTAGATGCTACGGTAGGTTCCAATGGTTGGTAAAGAGATGGTGTTTCCATGGCTCTGGGTTTGATGTGTTCTCTTGTTCTACGATTTATTTTTCCTCCGATATTAACTAAATAGGTTCGAGGTTCCCCAATGGGATTCGGTCTTTTGAGTACCGTAGCTGGCTCCCAGATATTTTGCTGTGTGTTACTTACGTAAACTAATTTCTTATTGTTAAATGATTTCTTGTCTATTCCCGTACCTTTATCGTAGAAAACTTTTTGTTTTCCTGAATCCTTTCATTAGCTTCTTGGTGGTACTCATTGTCAGGGTGTTGTGATTGTGGGACTCTATTGCAAGCTAGTAAAAGCGTTTGAGGTTTTCGTCCGTAAAGTAGTTCGTATGGAGATGATATACTGTTATCTAAAGGTGTTATCCTGTATGACCATAGTGCTGTATATGGGTATTTCCCTTCCTCTTAAATGCTTTCTTCCATAGCGTTTTGATTCTTCGAATGGTTCTATCAGCTGCACTATTGACTTGATGATGATATGGTGAACTGAACTTCAAGGCAATATTGCCGATCTGCAGCTCTCCTTGAAAGTTTCACTAACATATTGCGTTCCACAGTCTGCCATGATGGTGGATTCTAAATTTATAATTAGAACGAGCTTACGCATCGTAACAACGACTAAACAGCAACGTAAAATTGGCCATGGTAAAAAGCTAACCTATTCAATGTTTGCCCTGACTTTTAGTAATAGCCATAGCAAATGCTGGTCTAATAGGAAACTGGCGTTGTATTAGATGAACAGGAAGATCGGAATCTGCAAATATAAGTACTATCCGAGGTATTGAAATAACTGATCCTGCACGCTTTCCATTAATCGTATATGCACTTATTGGATGATCACTCAGCAATAATCATTATATTATAATAAAAAATTTTGTTGTTTTAGTTTATTTCATGCATGCAAATCTGTACACTACTAAAGTTACAGTAGCTAGGATGTACTCTGAGTATAAAGCAGATAATGTAATGATGATTGTAAAATTTCTGATAGAAGTCTCATTTGGGTTGAAAATGTATGTGCTAACCAACATCAACTTTTGTGTACTTGGCTACAGTTTAGCCAATTATTATTTCAATAGATCTTATGAACATTGCCCAAATTTTTAAGATAGATCTTATGTGTTTATTCGCATGTATGGTAGGGCGAAAGCAAAATGTTACATATAACCTCTTGCTGATGAAGTGTTTCTCCTTTCAACAAGAATCAATTTACAGTATAACCTCCCATTTTATAACTAGGTAAATGGAGCTAAAAAGTCAGTAGCCGTTCCAAACATGATTAGTGATACCTCTTTACATAGTCATGCAGTTGAATTTGTAATTCTACTATCTAAATATTCGAATTGAACAAGCATGTGAAATGATCAAGTTTCAATATGTTATTATTGATAGACATAAACCAATTATAGAGAGCTGTATAAGTGTCATAAACACTCTCTTACGCCACCGTTAGACATACTTGGATATCCTGTCAAGAGTAATCTGTCGAGGTATCGAATACAAGACAGGTTGAAAAGGAAGGATCAAGTAATCAAAAAGTTATTTTCGCAAAAGGGAATTCGAAAACCTATCAGAAGAGCATGATCACTATTCCGAGAGTTTTAACAATTTTATACACTCTTACTATTGTCGTTTGGCAATTTGATTTAGGTAAATTTTATTAATATTTGTAGACAACTAATCTCTTGTAAAATAGATCCACCATCAACCCATGTAGCGATGATTAATTAATAGTAATAGTAGAGCACTAATTAAATCGATTTCAAATGGTTTAATCCTTTATTAGTTTTTTGTGAGCCGTGTAGTTCATCGCCATGTGTAAATATCAATGCAACATGCCACCATATCTCCCCCACACAATATCAATGTATTTGCCCTAATGGCTGGACTGGTAGGATATGCGATGAAAGTAAGTAATACGCATAATATAATTTCAGAAATGGTCAAAATTACCGAGAAATTTTAAAATCACTCAGTTGTAAAAAGTAAATACGTAAGACTAACTGCTACTAATATTGTATGTAGCTATAGAACCCTGAAAATTGCTACTTACCTAATACTCACTGTAGTAAATGGCATTTTACATTGCCTTGAAATAATTGATCTATCTTCTAGATAATAAAACTTTGCTATTGATACTTACAAGATACTACTGTAAGTTACTTACTTAAGACAGATCTGCCATAATAGTTTTTTGAATACTTTAGCAAAATATTAACAGGTACGAATTATTTTCAAATTATGTTCTTTCGAAATTTCTCTAATCCCAATTCAAATTATACCGTAAAATGATAATCTTGATTTTTCACAAATTTCCCAATTTAATTTACTGTCCTACAGTAAATTGCCATCACTGTTACTTAAATATAAATTTCTTTCAGTTAACAAATACAGCATGTAACGCATGAATTAGCCAACTTAGACATGCCTGTATCTCGCTCATCAAATACTTTCAAAGTCTTACTCCTGTCAAAGAAGCCGATATGTCTATTTAATTAAAACAATTTATTCATTTGCCTTGTTCTATTTATTATTAGCATTATCGACTCTTAGTGGTAAACGCAGTGCCAACGGTTTCAAAAATAAAACGTCTGATAATGGAAGCAAGCAATTTACTGCGAATTTTAGCGACCTTTTAATACTGAAAGTTTTGCTAATCACAGGCGCATTAGCACTAATGGGGTGCTTATTAGCACTCATTCTGTACAATTCCAGTAATGCAGAGGAAGAGCCAAGCCGTGTAAGTGAATCTGTATCCAATTTTTCTTCTTTACGCCCAACATATTTTAATTAAGAAATCTTACAACTATGGCCTAAAGAGTTGCCTGAGTTATGTTGCTAGGGCAAACGAAGAAGAAACACAGCAAGACATTTACGATGGAAAATTTTTTAATCTCATTTTAGTATTCATTCTACTGTGTTGTTAACCAATATGCCAAAATTGTTCAAATACTAAAACCTATAATTGGTACGGTAGTGTTTCATGTTAATATTCATTTTACTGAGTGATATGGAACTCAATAATATGCCCAACACTGCACTCTATCTATACTTCCTTCTTATATTATGTACCATCCTAGTCCGTTATGATACCGTAGCCAAGCAATATAGAGTCTACATACGCAATATAGTCAAGTTTAATGGCACATAAAATGAGCTACTATAGGTAGAAATTATTTTAGCATCAACATGCGATACTACTTACAGCACTTGAGCAAACGACTTGACGCACTAGAAATTTAATTCAGTAAAATACTGAAAAAATGTTAGAATACGAAGCACGATATTAATGGATTGATACATGTTATTCTAATTCGCCTAGGAATCCTCCATTTCTATTTAATCCAATACTGAAGGAAATAAGTCTAGCTGACACAGTTGCTGATAAATGGTATTCAATAAGACTCTTCTATTATGACTGCTCAAGCACGTAACTTTGTATGTTGCTACCAAGATAATTTATTGAGAAAAACAACCCATATTAATGACTTTGTCTGATACCATAATACTTGATAGCGTTGAATATAATGTGTATTATCAATATTGATCACGCATTGAACTGTAAGAGAAGTAGAATTGCAATAATAGCTAAAAATTGAACGGCTTTAAATAACGATTCTAGTATGAAACTGCTATCATTTTGCATAAGTTAATTAATTAAACTAAGAAATTGTAATAAACGCCTTTAAAAATGATAATGACGAAAATGATCAAAATAGAACCCCTATCATCTATTCGACACAGAACCTACGTGGGTAAGATAAATGAATAGAAACAAATATCTTGGTTAGGAAATGTGATTAATGTTTCAATAAGAATTGATTCAACTTTGTTTCTAACGATATAATAGTATTAGATCAAAATTATTCCGGCTAGCTAAAAAATAGCCTGCTTTATTTGTTGATGATAGGCTATAGTCTTTACTAGCTTCGATAACATGATAATAATCTGTGCATTGATGATTGTTATATCATAAAATTCGCAGTTGCATATAGAGACACAGCCACATCATCATACATTAACAGATTAGGGAGTTCATGATCATCTTCAACAAGAATAATCGAACGTCTGACTAATCTAAATCTCCATTAATCTGTCTAACTTACATTCTTATACACTCGTCTTATAGGTTTATTTCCTTATGTAAGGAAACGTTTACATTTTTCTTGAAAGCAGTATACAATTACTAACTTACTTAATTGCACGGTAGCGCTTCTATGTTGGTACTTATTTGCTTTTATGCCATTTGTGGGCATACCTTCGACACTGAATGTGGAAATAAGCCCATGTAGTTGCAATTAATCTAGAAAACTACGTAAGAAACTGTTTATGCTTTGTATCAAATATCAAATTCCCTTCGCGCATATTTTCCTCGATTCTTCCTTTTGCATTTCGCCTCAAAGTTCACAACTCGATACTAGGCTTATCGACTAGAAAAACGTGAAAAAAGCTTTCTAGTAATTCTCCGACTATAATTATTTGGCCGGGCTTAAATGCCAGAATATAAAATCTAGTACTGATGCAAAGGAAATCGTTACATAATTCTTTCCTGTTAGTTAGTAGAGCCACAAAGCCGAGTTTTTTCAGAATATGATGCAAAAGAAATTTTGAGTAAATTCTTTCCTATCTATTATCTGGGCCACATAAGGAGCTATTCAAGTTTTATGCAGAATGTGATAGACCAGAGTCGATTGACTCAGTACGGTATGCTAGCATCATTAATCCTAGGTTTTAAGGCTATCATTTAATCATATAGTATAAAGTTATTGTAATAAAGGCCACTCAAGTTAGCTTACGATAGGCATAATATTCCGTAACCGTATATGAAACTGCTAAAAGTATTACTTTATTACCGCTTTATTAGGAATGCGGATAATGGCTTCTAGTCCCTTTAACGTACAAAACCAAACCTAAAATTCATAGCGTTCATAATAAGTTGAAAATATTATAGCAGAGATGGCTAAAATTGAAAAATACCTAATTATATTCTCTGGCCTCAATGCAAGAAATTGTTCTGTCTACTAAATTTAGATCAAGGATGAAAAAAAAAACTCAGACCTACTGTATTTTAGCAAATCTACAAACGACAGTATTGTCTGCACTAAATAAAGTCAATACAAAACAGTTCCGCTATTACTCTAATCCTAGGTTATAAAGAGGATAGAATATGCAGTAAACTTTATTTAGCTTGATATTGAATTACTTCTATCTGCCGCAAATAGTATAGATGTTTTGATATCTGCCTTATAAGTCACACAGGTATGTTTACTATAATCAATTATACAACGTCATTTCCTTTTAATTTGCTACACCTTTCGCCTTATTCAATTTATGGATATACTGTACATTGACGGCTACATTTTATGGCTTGAACAGATCTAAAGAAGATGCTAGTTTGAATAGAAAGGTCTTATTGCTTTATTCGAATATCAGCTTTTCAAAGAATCTTGCTATTTTCATTGGCTAAAAGTAGCAATTTTACAGTAGAAGAACTGACTTCTCCATGTAAAATCATTTCATCACAAATTTGGTTATTCTACCAATTTGAATTATTCATTATATTAAGTTGGGATCAGGTTAATAACGCCGAATCACTCGATCCGAAAGTTAAATCACTTCAACATCAAAAGCTAAAACTTTCCAAACAATACTTAGACCATGATCAGTTCAAAAGTTTTTGTTGTTTGGTGTACATTGTTCGTTCTCGCCGTTCATTTTAATACAGGTAATAGCTATTCCATGATTTGGACTCATCTCATACAATATCAATAGCGCTTCCATCTCATGATTTAAAATACGGTTATTGTAATTATTATATCTGCATTCAAATCTCCAATCAATCATATATTATTTTCAGCAATCTGTGGACCGTGCAGCTCTTCCCCATGCCTCCATATATACTCAACCTGTCATGATATTTCTGAAACTGAATATCGATGTCAATGTCCTATCGACTGGTCAGGAAGGACATGCAACAGATGCAAGTAGAGCTGTTGCCTTATTTATCATAATAGAATAAATAGCGGAAAATCTACAATATTATAGACTGTCTTTGACCGCATGGCTCTATAGCATTAATTCATTTTTCTGCTAATATAGCTATTATAAGCTGCGATATGGGAAGAAGCTGTATGAATGGTGGCACTTGTATTAAAACAAAATCATCAAGTTACGTTTGCAGATGTCCTACACTTTTTACTGGCGAAATTTGCGAGATAAGTAAGTCGGTACTGCTAATCAACATTTAAATTCTATGTAAATTAGATTATAAACACTTGCAATTAGAGTCAGATTACCAGTCAAGAATAGGATGTTCAACTACTAATTGCATTTAGAATGAGTTTATTTCTTTGTGTCAAAAAACTATTCCGTAGGAAATTATTGTACTTCAATGCCATGTCACGGAAGCGCTACATGTATAAGCCATAGAACAAGGTCTTATACGTGTTTATGTCCACGCTATCGAACAGGAAAGCACTGCGAAATTGGTAAAAGTTTTCGAAATAAACAAGGCGTAAAATATTCATAACTACCCTAGAAAGTTTTATTACAGCTGTGATTAGCAGTAAGAAATATCTATTATATTAAATAGGGATAAAGTCAAATTTTGTTCTTATTTATTAGCTAGATAGAAATTAAACGACTTCCTTCATATAAATATCTATAGTCAATTTATTTTGTTTCTGTTCTATTTGAGACATAGATTAATTTTTAAAATGAATATCACGAAATCCATAAAGTTTAGCGATATAAATCTTATTCAATCTACGAATAAAATTTTAAAATCACATGTACGACTAGAGCAATCTACGGTAACTTTATAGTGACAATATTTTTTTAGTAGCCACTAGTATCTGATCTTAGCATAAACAGATATAAGCAATTAAGCATAGTAATTGCAGAAGAAAACTTATTTGTAATCTTAGACATTGAATGCCTAGAATATTTAATTTAAATAGCAAAAATAAAAGTTTTAAATTCTCATCTATTCAATCAGAACTTTGGGTATTCCATGCAGTTCAGCATAGAACATGCAGATATTGTAACAAATTCGTAAGATTGTGTACTGGACTATATTATTTGACTTATTTAATCGTTACGATTTACAGATATTTCACCTTGTGAATCAAATCCTTGCCGCTTTGGTTATTGTCACAATTTACAAGATGGTTTTCAGTGCAAATGTCTCGCCTCTGGATACACCGGACTTTTGTGCGATACAAGTTTGTATTATCGAAAGATTGTAGTTTCAGTGACTATCTAAACTATATTTTAAATACCTTAATGGTGGTATAATATCTATGTAAAGTAGAATACGATTGTAATTGAAGTTATTGCGCTTTTAGTTCGGAATTTCAAAATAGTATTTCGTTGGATCGTTTATAAACGCGAATAGTATTCAATCTAGATCACAGGATGTTTTAAGCTAAATATTGCTATATAGTCAGTGTAAAACTTATAATATATCTACCTCAGAAATAATATGATAAAGGAAAATATTAATTCTACGTTGTCGGATTAAAATGAAAAGTCTTGATCATTTAAATTACTCGTGTAACTAATTTTTAAAAATCAATAAATTAGCAGGATAAAATTCAAATGTCAAGCTTAAATGACAAAACATTTTAAATTTCGATATTTATCAACTTTAAGCAAATGATTGAACTTTTCTTTCCAGAAGTAATACCTACACTAAATATCCCATCCAGTCAACAAAATGACATTGTAATGCCTTATGGCACAAAATACTGTATAAATTTCAATATTGGCGCCATCCGAAACTATGTAATACTCTCTTCATGGTATTTCAATAATAAAGTAATAAACTCAACTTGCTATTTTGGCAATAATCGTGAAATACAGAACATACAGCAGAATACCTGTATTTCTACTGGGATAATGGCAAATGGTACATACTTTAGTCAGCTATGTATACTAGATGCAAAGTATAATAACAAGGGAAAGTATATATTGAGGAGTGGCCTATCTGCTTATAATCAAGGTTATGATAGAGTTTTCAACGTCAAGATTAAAGGTATAATAGCATAGAATAATTTAAAAATATTTTTAAAGCCATTTTTCCTTACAATATTTCTTACGAGCATTTGGCATCCAATTACGATTACATTGATGTATGCTTACTTTTATTGATTGACATTTAGTTTTCTGAAATTGTGGAATCGGATTTTATTCAGTGTTGTAGTTTATTAATATCTAGTGCTACTGGTTAACTATTATTTTGTATTGTAGGACCTCCCAAACTTTCCATAACATTACATGATACCAAACATCCAACTATAAATAAAATGATACATTTAAATTCGAGTCTTTTGGTCAACCATACCGACGATATAACGTTAACTTGTGTAGCTGAAAGTTTTCCTTCCTCTATAGTTTGGCTAAACTGTGGCAACCGAGATAACAAAAACTTAAATGGAATAATTCAAATTAATGACTCTACTATTCAAATCGTCCAAGCAAGTTTTCATGATTCCAGTCTTTGCTATTGTATGGCTAATAACACATATGGAAATGAAAGAATTAATATTAACATAATCATTCGAGGTAAAAGGATTAACATTCCTGTATTACAATAAATTAATTCAGTATTACGCTTTCAAAAATTGACAGATGCTATTTGTACCATTTAGCACCGCCAGCAAATATTACAGATATAACGGTCAAGAATGTAACAAATACCAACTTGATTATTTTCATTAATTCCGATTACAGCCTATTAGCGAAAGGATTATTCTACCTTATATTTAACCAAGCCATGAGTAAACCTACTAATACGACTATGAGAAGCCAAAACTTTAATGTATCTACTATTAACTATCAAACCTGTCATGATACGATATGTAAAATTAATTTTTTACAACCATGGACTACTTATAATTTTTGGTTACAAGCTGTTAATGACTACGGAAGAAGCGGTAATAGTTCCAAGATTCGAATCACGATGAAAGGTAAAATATACTTGTCAATAAATAAAATTAGGCTAGCATGAAGGTCTTACTTAACAATACTTAGCTGCCTGAAATCGTTTTTTTTATTTTGAATGTTTTATTATTTAGTATACACACCTCAGTAAAAACTAGCATAATGTAGGCTTTAGTAACTTTATGGTAGTGAATGATGGTGGTAAGTAATTGTTCGAAATTACTTTTAACGTAGGTATGCCAATTAGTCCCCAAATCATAAAGATAACCGATAATATTGACTTTGTGGTGTTGGAATGGCAAGCATTAAATTTACATGATGGAACCAACATTACTTATAGCTTCAGTTATAAGCAAAGTACATCGAACAAATGGCTGACAATGTTGATCACAGATCACCAAGAAGAGTCCTTGCAAAAGCAGAATATCTCAGTTAGATATGTACATATTGCAAACTTAACGAAAGGCAGTAGTTATGACTTTAAGTTGCAAGCAACAAATGCCTTTGGTACAAGCAGCAGTCAGATAAAGAGATTAAATACGATAGGTATGACAACTTAAAGCATAGTTGTAGTACATCTATTTTATGCAAATTTTGTGTAGACTTCGGGCTATTTATAGAGGCTGTTCTATAACTAATTCCACTGTACTATTTGATACTTTTATAATCTAAATATAAATCACATTACAGGCTTACCGTCCAAACCAATTCTGACTGCAATCTCATCTTCATTGACTGAATTGAATATTACTTGGAAATCTGAAAGCTATGCTAATAACTTATTCAAACTAGCTAACTTAACATCTTATATTCAGTTTATTGAAAATCATCAACAAAAACGATATCCATCGTCGCTTAATTGCTCATTGTGCATCAAAATGGAAATAACAGGAGTATCTAACCTTTCAGCCAGTAATTCTATAACTACGCGACTTGTAGGTTTAAAGTCAGGAACAATGTACAATTTTCAAATCTTATCTATTAGTAAAGTGGGCATTACGTACAGCGAATGGGCATCTTATAAAACAAAAGGTATAGTACTCATCCTTAATTTACTAAGTCATAACATATTAATGGCCGTTACATACGTAAAATGATGTAAAAGTTTGTTATAAAATAATTCCATCAATAGCTAATTAATTTGCGATTTTTTAACCTATGAAACACTACAATTAGAATTGCCCAATCCTCCAAGAAATGTTAGCGTCCAAGGCACCGTTTATAGAGCCGCTATAATTCGATGGCGGAAAAGTAACTTTGGCGATGATATAACAGGATTTGCTGTCTACTATAGGACAAATTCTTCTAGTATTTATGATATGCAAATTGTTAATTCAAGTGAAATATCGACTATTCTCACCAATTTACAGTACAATAGCACTTACCAGTTATATATCATCACCGTAAGCATCTATGGCAGAAGTAAACCAAGCAAAATGGTATATTTTCAAACAGGTGAGAAAAGATACTTTTAAATAGCTTAATATGAAATTGCCAACGGCAATATAAACCATTATTATCACTATTTACACGCTAAATGAGCAAACATAACAGTATTTGCAATTCAAGATTGAATTTAAATCGGTATAAAAACATAAATTTATAGTTTGTGTTCATTTTAGCTGCCACTTAAACTTGCGTTAGAAACTGAGATTTATTTAAAACATAACTTTACTCCAAATAAGACAAGATATTGACCACAGTTCCTGCCACAGAGCTATAATGTACTATATCGTATAGTATATCGGTCATAATTGAAGGCTGAAATTTAATAATTGCTGTATATAATTTTAATTCATGAGATGGAAATACTTACTACCGATGTGAAGAAAATTACTTTGATATATTATGCAGCAATACCTACTTCATTAGTTTTAAAAAATTACTAAATTCCTTACATTCCATTTCAGCGTTGAACATAAGAACGTGTTCTTTATAGACATGTCATAACTAGCTTTGTTTTTAATATTTTAGCGTCACTTAGGGATGAACTTTATGTTAACAACAGTTTAAGTAATACTACGTTAAACTATCATGGCAGCAATTCTCCAGATGGCTTCGCAAATAATGATCATATATTCGCGCCAATTGCTGCAACAGTAATTTCTCTACTGCTAATATTCTTACTTCATTTCCTTTACAAACGATATTGTCGACGTCCACATATATCAGCTCCACGTAAGTAGATCTGTTGTTATTTATTTATGTTTAACAAATATTTAGAAACCTTGCACTAAGATCTAGTTTTCTGCTGTATAGCGGCGATGCTGATGACAAAAATAGAGTTCAATTTTGATTGTTAGCAATTAGATAATACGAAAGTATGACTGTAATCGCCGACTGTTAGATATACTTTTACATCTAGTAGTCCATACTATAGAGTATAATTGATGAAAAGATTCCAATCCCCAGTATATGGATGCAGAATTGAATAAGGCACCGTAGCAGTTATCGGTTTTAAATTGCTAATGTATCCAGAAATCGATATCCTATTGATTAGTATCCATCACTACCCGGTACTCTATGTACAGTTATATCGTTGTAGTCCTAAAAGTCTGTATGGTATGGT